AAGGAGTGTCTCTACATACTTCACATGTTCTTGAATATAAAGTGAAAAAAGAAGGTGAATAAACTGAGCACAGTAGGGTAACATTTTGCTTAGGAAGGAAATGAATAGATAAATTTATATTCATATAGGCTCATGTAAGAAACAAGAGAAAGATAAAGTTTTAAATTTTAATAAAGTTTACTTATGGAGAAAGAAAGGGAAAGAGTGGAATGGAAAGGAAAAAAGCTGGATTTCTCTGAACATACATTGTTTTCTAGACTTGACTTTGGAACAAGTAAATCTTTTGTCAATTATCTTCTTCTTACATAATCACAAAGCAACGTTGAATATAAAAGGATTCCTTAATAGTAGTAAACATCTCTTTATCTGTATTTCCTAACCATGCTGAAAAGTCTTGATTCCCAATGGCACCACCCCAATGACCTCAACTGATTCAACTCATTATACACATACAATGGTCTCGGAATAATACTACCACCACCACTATCAACGGTAAGATTAATAAGTTAAAAACACTAAAGTCCAGAATCTGATTTAGGAATATGACCTCGAATACATGAGATATTCTTTCTTTAAAAACGTTTATATGTAGTTCCTAGCTCTGTCAAAGAAAAGGCCTAGAAATGATTCCCCCACATCCAAACTGTGGTCTTAAAACACTTTCCCCTAAAAAGAACTGGAGCTCCCTGGAGATATGGCCAATTCCAGGTCCGAGACAGAAAATATACACAATGAGCCTGGAACATCTTAAAACACCAGGAAGCAAGGAAGCTACCAAAGAGTCAGGAGCCAACTTGAAGGCATCTCCACTAGCTAAAGATGGGACAGTTGGATTCACAAGAAGGATAATAAGGCAATGGATTAAACATAAAAATGTTTCAATCCGTTAAGTGCATAACTGACATACAGAAACAGATACAATTTATTGGCCACCTTTAGATGATGTTACAAAACCAACTCGTTATCTTGAAAACTGGTAAATAGACAGAAAAACTCAATCACATAACCTGTCTTTTCTGTATGTGTAACTCACAGTAACCAAGTAGGTGAGGGGCAGTTTCTCTTTCTAGAATCCTTCAGCTCACGCAAGAGAAGGAATGATAGAATTAGAATATCACCATTTTGCAACCATTAATGAATTCATGGATCTAACGTAGAACAAAGAAAGACAACCATGTATTACATGCCTCCTGGTGGAAGTAGCTGGGAAGTAAACTTGCTAAAAGTAGAAAACAAAATCCGATCCATCTTTTACATCTAACTACCAACTGACAAGAAAGACAGGGGACAGAGAACCATGCTAAATACCACCACAGGGTATTGAACAGCCAAATCCAGAATGTGGAAAACTAAAGGAAAAATGACCCAGTTCCTTAAAAAGGAAATACCACGGGGAAAAACGACATGGAGGGGAATCATCTATAGATTATAAGAGATAAGAATTTGAGTAGCTACGAGTACACCCAGCACCAAGAAACTGGTTTCTAAATACCATTCCCACTAACTGAAATCAGAAATCTTTGGAGAAATTGCTAATTCCAGGTCTAAAACAGGGAAAATACAAGATGAACCTGGAACATATGTTTGTGCGAGAAAGTGAGGAAGTGCTCAAAGAAAGATAGGGACATGGCAATAGGACAGAGACACCGGCCTCAAGGGACGCCTATTAGTCACATTGAGGACAATTTGAGCATGAAAATGAACAGTGACAGCAATGGATGATAACCCACTGAAAAAATAAGAATCAACCAACTTAGTAGTAACTGATTCAGA